GCTCTGTGCAAACTTTGCAAATTTCCCAGGCCTCCAGTCTACGAAGCTAACGATTGTGTAAAATCAATCCAGAACGGAGACTTGGAGTCCACAATTAAAAGCAAGTGTCCTTTAATTGAAACTAGAGTGCCAGAAAATACAGTAATACAATTGGATGCCGACGAATTTGCTTTTATTGATTCAGACAAAGGGCGTATTACGCAATATTGTTCAGAAACTAACGCTCAAGCATCCGAGAATACATATGAGTTGCCATACTCTGGTATTATTCAATTTAGACCTAATTGTCGTTATACCGTGATTAACGGGCCATTTCGTGAAATGACCCCAAAGTTAGAAAACATTGAGATAAATGCAATTAACGAAATCCCGGCTAATGTCCCAGGAATTAAATCAATTATTGAGGACATTAGTGAACTACAACTACACTTTNAATTATTGAGGACATTAGTGAGTTACAACTACACTTTCGAGACAATGGTTATATTTATCTCATTGTTTTGATTATATTATTAACAATAATTCTTATCGCGATTGTATATTTTTGTTTCGCGAGGATACGATATGTTTTGCAGCGAGGAAGGCGTTTAGAGGCTATTGATTTAAACGATATGTCGGCGCGTGTCGAATTAGTTACAGAGTCCATCCCTTCCCGACCCGCACCAAAGTATCCCAGAATCCGCATGAACCCTTCCACCGGAATTCTTTCCCTGAGTACTAACTAAAAAGGAAGTAAAAGTACGCAGGATTTCTCTCTGTACAAAGCTCATTTTATTGATGACTTCCTAACGGTTACACATCTAGATCATCTGTCACCGAAACAAAATCATCAGAGCCTGTACTAATGTCCAAAACATGAGCCTCATTTGAAACAGAAGCAGCCAAGACCGGAACGGGAAGATCCATGGGGACAGGACTCAAAGAGATCAGATCAAAGGCGACTTCACGTAATTCATCCGACAATGGCGGTGGTGAAGGCGACGATGCCGGAGTCATGGGCGGCGTTAGGATCCTCCACAACTCGTCCGCTCTCCTCAGGAGTGACAGCAACCAAGGCTAAAAGACGAGGAAGACAACAAGAAATACCCAAAGGAGACATGCATCCATGCAAAACAAGGGGTTTACGCTCAGCTAAGTCTTACTTGGTTTAAATGTTGTCATGCGTGGAATACGTGACCTAATAGTAGCAAATCCGTCCTTTATCTCATTAATAGAGGTCTCATGCATTACAATTGGATTTGAGGACATCTCTTGCATCTCGATCTCTTTGACATCCTTTTTAGGTTTAGGCTGGGTATTGGTCGTTTTACGAAGATACTGTTAGTTAATGAGAGTAGGTTAAAAGGAAGAGTTGCATGCGAAAAATGTATTCGTGAGCAAAAATAGTGCAAGAAATAAGAAGTACCTTCTTTCTCAAACACCAGGCAACCCAGCCGGTCGCAAGTCCGAATACCGTTAACCCAAGACCACTGATCAGTCCTATCGCCCAGTTTGAAAATAGCTCCGTGGCAAATTCTGCCCCCAATACCGCTTTTCCCTCCAACACCGTTAGAGTGATGTTAGCACGGTCACCAGCCAAGATTTTTGTCTCAGGCAATGTATTGAGTCTATGGCCCAGTTCGAAAATAGCTCCGTGGCAAATTCTGCCCCCAATACCGCTTTTCCCTCCAACACCGTTAGAGTGATGTTAGCACGGTCACCAGCCAAGATTTTTGTCTCAGGCAATGTATTGAGAACGGAGACCAAAATTGAGGGCTTGGTAACAACTAGAATGGAACGTATGTTTTTAATATATGAGATGAATAATGGCTACAACTGTTCCAAAGCTCTTACCAAGAGCTGGGGTAGTGTGTGTTGTTGTTTCCATAGATGTTTGCGTCGGCGGAAGCCTAGAAACGATACTACTGATGGAGATTAACTCTGGTGTATTGAGAACGGAGACCAAAATTGAGGGCTTGGTAACAACTAGAATGGAACGTATGTTTTTAATATATGAGATGAATAATGGCTACAAACTGTTCTAAGCTCTTACCAAGAGCTGGGGTAGTCTGTGTTGTTGTTTCCACAGATGTTTGCGTCGGCGGAAGTCTAGAAACGATACTGCTGATGGAGATTAACTCTGGCGTGCGAGCCGTGGTGAAGGAAGTGATGCCAGATGTCGCTGCCATCGCCGAGATCGTCGACGATATCGAACTTTTCATCGACGTCAAATCCTCCGACACCGTCACCTCCGACACCTCCGACACCTCCGACATTTGAATAGAGGTCAAAGAAACCCCGGAGCGTTCCAGTTCAGCCGAAATCTGACCGTCTACGCACAATTCGACCGGATCCACAATCGACGCACGGAAGGTTCCCTCACATCGAGTAGGAGCCAGCAGTTCTACTTTCTGCATAAACACAACAAGATGAAAACACATCCCTGAACCTGTTTCTATTCACCAACCTTTATGCCGAAAAAGTCAAGACAGCCGAAATCAAGGACTGGACCAGTCAGCACTATTTTGCCTTTGAAATCCGGTGCCCTAACCGCGTCCGAGTCACAAGCCTCCGTACAGTGAAGGCGGCCATCTTTGACGACACACCTGCCGGATGACGTATCAGGATGCACCACTAACAGCACCAACAGCACAAACATCGCAAAACCCGCCATTCTCAATTGCTAACTGAAAAATTTCAAAAGATGCACTTGGATCAGATCTGATCCGATTTTGTTAAAGAGTCTAAAGGGAATTACCTTTTCGTTCAAAACTCGCGAACCGAACGGTGAAACTTGTCGAAAATCGCAGGAGATCTTCCTCTCACAACCTGGAACCGAACGAACCGTTTAGTTTTTTCATTTTTCAGAACCTTATTTGCTTACTCAAGGTGCTAAAATGTTTGCTTTACAGGTAAGTGAATTACCCTTATGTTTACCGCAATACGGTCACGCCCTGTGCAAACTTTTTAAATTTCCTAGACCTCCAGTCTACAAAGCAAATGATTGTGTAAAATCGATTCAGAACGGAGACCTGGAGTCTACAATTAAAAGTAAATGCCCTCTGATCGAAACTAGAGTACCAGAGGATACGGTAATACAATTAGATGCCGACGAATTTGCTTTTATTGATTCAGACAAAGGGCGTATTACGCAGTATTGTTCTGAAACTAACGCCCAAGCATCCAAGAATACTTACGAGTTGCCATATTCAGGTATTATTCAATTTAGACCTAATTGTCGTTATACCGTAATTAACGGGCCATTTTGCGAAATGACCCCAAAATTGGAAAACATTGAGATAAATGCAATTAATGAGATCTAAGCAGGTGAATTACCCTTATGTTTACCGCAATATGGTCACGCCTTATGCAAACTGTGTAAATTTCCCAGACCTCCAGTCTACGAAGCTAATGATTGTGTAAAATCAATTCAGAACGGAGACTTGGAGTCTACAATTAAAAGTAAATGTCCTTTGATCAAAACTAGAGTACCAGAGAATACAGTAATACAATTGGATGCCGACGAATTTGCTTTTATTGATTCAGACAAAGGACGGATCACTCAGTATTGTTCTGAAAATAATGCTCAAGCATCGGAAAATACCTACGAGTTGCCATATTCCGGTATTATCCAATTTAGACCTAATTGTCGTTATACCGTAATTAACGGGCCATTTCGTGAAATGACCCCAAGATTGGAAAACATTGAGATAAATGCAATTAATGAGATCCCGGCTAATGTCCCAGGAATTAAATCAATTATTGAGGACATTAGTGAGTTACAACTACACTTTCGGGACAATGGTTATATTTATCTCATTGTTTTGATTATATTATTAACAATAATTCTTATCGCGATTGTATATTTCTGTTTCGCGAGGATACGATATGTTTTGCAGCGAAGAAGGCGTTTAGAGGCTATTGACTTAAATGATATGTCGGCGCGTGTCGAATTAGTTACAGAGTCCATCCCTTCCCGACCTTATATTTTTGTTTCGCGAGGATACGATATGTTTTGCAGCGAAGAAGGCGTTTAGAAGCTATCGATTTAAATGATATGTCGGCGCGTGTCGAATTGGTTACAGAATCCATCCCTTCCCGACCCGCACCAAAGTATCCCAGAATCCGCATGAACCCTTCCACCGGAATTCTTTCCCTGAGTACCAACTAAAACGGAAGAAAAGTACGCAAATTTTCTCTCTGTACAAAGCTCATTTTATTGACGATTTCCTAACGGTTACACGCCTAAATCATCGGTCACCGAAACAAAATCATCTGAGCTTGTATTAATATTTAAACGATATGTCGGCGCGTGTCGAATTGGTTACAGAATCTATCCCTTCCCGACCCGCACCGAAGTATCCCAGAATCCGCATGAACCCTTCCACCGGAATTCTTTCCCTGAGTACCAACTAAAAAGGAAGAAAAGTACGCAAGATTTCTCTCTGTACAAAGCTCATTTATTGACGATTTCCTAACGGTTACACGCCTAAATCATCGGTCACCGAAACAAAATCATCTGAGCTTGTATTAACGCCGGACTCTTGAGCCTCTTCGAAAACAGGTTGAAGATCGGTCAGCATGGGAGTTGGAAGAGAAACAACCGCAGGAACAGCTGGCGCGAAGTCCAAAGAGATCAAGTCCGCAGCTCCCTCAGCCGACAATGGCGGTGGTGAAGGTGACGATGCTGGAGTCATCGGTGGCGTGAGGATTCTCCACACCTCCTCCGCTCTCCTCAGGACTGACAGCAACCAAGGCTAAAGAACAAGGAAGACAACAAGAAACACCCAAAGAAGACATGCATTCATGCAAAACAAGGGGTTTACATTCAGTTAAGTCTTACTTGGCCTAAAGGTTGTCATGCGAGGAATGCGTGACCTAATGGTAGCAAATCCGTCCTTTATCTCATTAATGGAAGTCTCATGCGTTATAGTCGGATTTGAGGACATCTCTTGCATTTCAATCTCTTCAACATTCTTTTTAGTTTTAGGTTGGTTATTGGTTGTTTTACGGATATACTGTTAGTTAATGAGAGTTGGTTAAAAGATGAGGTGACATGCGAAGAATGTACTTGTGAATAACAACAGTGCAAAAAACGGAAAGTACCTTCTTCCTCAAACACCAGGTAATCCACCCAGCCGCCAACCCAAAGACCGTTACGCCGAGACCGCTAATTAGCCCTATGGCCCAATTAGAAAATAGCTCGGTAGCGAACTCCGCGCCCAAGACCGCTTTCCCTTCCACTACCGTTAGCGTGACGTTCGCATGGTCCCCAGAGTGAATTCGGGTTTCCGGAAGGTTTTTCAGCACCGAAATGATGACGGAAGGCTTGCTTGTCGCTAAAAACAGAGCACCTTTGTTTAAGACCCATTGGAAAACCTCTAATGAAAAGCTCTTACTAGGAGCAGGCGTAGTCTGTTTTGTCATTTCAGTCATGAACGTCGTCGACATACGGACCCCAATAGACGAAGCTGTAAAAGGGCCCTGTGTGACCACGGTGTCCCCGAAAGTGACGACAGATGGCGCCTCCGTCGAAAAGGAAGCCACCGTCGTTGACGTCACCGGCCCCGCCGACGTAACAGGAATCATCGTTGACGAACTCGTAGCCCGCGTGGGAAGTGATGGAGAAGATGGTGACTCCGTCGTAGTCTGCCCAGTCATGCAGAAGTCCACTGGATCGACCAACGCAGCACGAAAAACCCCCTCGCAACGAGTCGGAGCCAACAGTTCCACTTTCTGCATCATCAACAAAGCAAGATGAAATAAAGCTCAAAAACCTGTCTTCATCCACCAACCGTTATGCCGAAGAAATCCAGACATCCGAAGTCCAGGACGTGACCCGTCAGGACGATTCTCCCGTCGAACTCGGAAGCGCGAACCGCGTCTGCGTCGCACGCCTCGGAGCAATGAAGGCGGCCATCTTGGACGTGACACCTGCCGGATGACGCATCAGGATGCACCACCAGCAGCATCAACAACACGGACACCGCGAAACTTGCCATTCTTGAATGAAAACTGTGAAAAATTCAAAAGATGCACTTGGATCAGATCTGATCCTACTTTGTTAAGAGTTCTAAGGGAATTTACCTTTTCGCTCGAATCTCAGTAACCGAACGGTGAAATCTGCCGAAATTCGCAGGAAATCTCCCTCTAACAACCTGAAACCGAACGAACCGTTTACTTTTTTAATTTTGGACCGCGTTTCGCGTGAAAATCGATCGTTACGGCGTA